TTTCAGACTGGTTCTGTCTTAAATATCCTTCAGATTGACTCTATTCCACCTTGACTAGAATATGTGTCCACATATCTATTCTAGTCAAAGAAGAACAACTGGTCATCTTTATTAGAACTGTTAGTAACATTAGAAGTGTTTACATCCACTTAAAACAGTAGTACAAGGTAGCTGTAAGACTTGAGACACTGATTGAACACAAGTGTCTACTCTAACTAGTCAATAGTAGGGTTGTAAGTCTTAAGCTATTTGAATCCAATAAAGATGTCTGTCTTTCTAAGGTTAGTGACTCTAAACTTAATACTTTCCTTATAATCCTGAATGGTCATCTGTAGTTGGACAAACTTAGTGATCCAACTATTCTGGTTTAGGGTTCTATCTGTATTGTATACTAGGATTGGAAGTAGAACACATTGAGTAGGGAGGTGGTGTTCCTATATGAAGGCCTTATTAATGTACAAATTAGTATATCTACTATCTACTAGAGCCATTGTTTAGATCTGGGGGGATCCTAAGAAGAGAGCTAAGAGAACAGAAACCTGGAGCTAGTACCTAGAACATTCTTGGATGAACTACTACTTGTTCTGAAGGGAACATACAGCTTGTACAGCCTTATTGTCTAAGAGGGTAAGTATATACACTAACATTTCCTTATTAACCTCTCTCTTTTGACAAGGATGGACTCATGTCCTCAGCTGTGAACTCAGCTGAGACTATCCCTGCTTGATACTATAGACAAACTACTAAGTAGTAAACAGGGCTGGGTAGTGTTCTGAATGTTCTAAGATCTTAGAATACAGAAGTAGTAGGTCAGATTGTGTGGATTTAGACTTGGATAAAGTGTAAAGAGAAGAATCAAAAGAATCAGAAGAAATAAGAGAACTATCTACTTTTGTTTTCAACTTTTTTCTTTCTAATAAATAATTTTGTTGATTTACTTTTTCTACTTTTTCTACTTTTCTTACTTTATTTACTTCTAATCCTACAGTGTTCATTGAATCAAAAGTGACTATTAAAAAATCTGAGTCATAGCCCTTTAGTGTCACATTCACTGTTGGGCCTTTACAAAATCCTAGAGTATGTAGTTAGGGTCTGAGAGTTCTGAGGTAACTTTCAGATTTGTAGAAAAGGCTCCTTACTATAAATCCTGCTTGTTACTCATTATTACTCTAATAACCTGACAGATATACTGTTACTTCTGTAGGCAGTCCTTAATCTGGTGCTCTAACTTTCTACAGGTAAAGTATACTCCTTACTTTCAGGCTTCTCTAATGTTTATCAGAACAGATTGATTGTGAATTATAGGTAGATTGATTTAAAGGCTCAGAACTGTCAGAGCTGAACACATGTGTGAGTGTTCTATACAGACTTGACACATCTAAGCTACAGCTTGGTTGAAGGAAATGGTGTATGTCTTCTACTCAGTGTAAGTAATTAGTTTTAGTATCATCCTAAGAATCTTATTAACTAGTTCTGGGTGAAGAGCTTTTTCCAGTATTCTAATAAGGACATTATCAAACCTGAGCACAAATCCTGCCTTCTGGGCCAGAATATTAAACTCCTGAAGGAAGGCATTAGTAGAACATTTGCCCTGTCACAGAGACACAAGCTTGTTCTGTACATTACACTTCTTATTCAGATTAATGAAGGAAGTACAGAGCTGCCCTATGAATTCTGAATACAACTCATTGTTCTAAAGTCAGATCAGGCTTCTGATCTAATAGCCTTTGATCCAGTTCTAGGCCCAGGTGGCCATGTTGCCTTCCTTTATGAAGGAGAGGACAAATAGGACATGATTAAGATCTGAGGATAGATTGGTTAAAGTAGTAGCTATATATAGTTCAACTTGGTGCTAGAAGTCCTTAAAGTACTGTTTATTAAAGTCTGAAGGGCAGGCTACATGTACTTTCTTTCTAGAGTGGGTTGTAACTTCTAGAATGATCAGAATAGGTTCTGAAGAGGCTAGAGGCACATAGTTGGCAAAGGCCTCTTAGATAAAGGTTTATATGTATTAAGCTAGGTCTGCTTGTAACTACTAATCTAGCAGGACAGTAGGGGTAGCAGTTAGTATAGAAGGGTCCATGTTTACACTACAAAGGAATCAGCACTAAACTAAAAGGAGTAATGAATAGAATGAAGAGTAGTAAAAGTTTAAAAGGGTTTAGAAAGTTTAAAATTTAAAAATGTAAAAGGGTTAGGACAAAGAAAAGAGATTGACACAATAGCAAGTACTGATGCTTGAAACATAGGAGAGTCATAAGGTAGTAATAAGTAGTCTTGATCTGATGTTAGTAACAGTGTAGAGGGGACCTGAAGGCTTAGTAAGGGGACCCAGGCTATAACTATCCTACACAACAGAAATACAGAATATAAGTACTAGAACATAGTCAGAACTTGTAGAACAGACAGAGAGAGAGAGTGAGACAAGAGTAGAGTATATAGAGTAAGTCTAAGAGTACAGGACTACCTGGAGTAGACAAGATCAAGACTACAGGACTAGTCTGATCTTGTACACCTATATATACTAAACTATATAAGAGTACTCAGAGAGTATGAGCTACTAAGAATAATAAGCCATAAAGAATGAAAGAAAGGAAGGTCAAAGATAAAGGTATAAAGAATGAAGGGATAGACAAAGGGTAAGAGACTATAGAATGAACAAAGAATGAAGGGGTGATTAAAGGAATAGAATGATAAAGTAAGGAAGGGTAGTAGTAAGAGTCAGTACACATATAACTTATAGACAGTACTCCTGAGGGACAGAAGTCCTAAGTTCTAATACAGAAGGGTGTAGAACCCTTAGAACTGAAGGTGCAAGAGTAGAGAACCATAACATAGAGTAGGAAGAAGAACATAAATACATAGAATTATTAAAGAAGTTGTTCAGTATTGGTCAACAATGTGGAAGTGCAAATGTAAATGTAAAAAGGAAGAGGAACATGAAAAAAAGGAGGACAATAAAGGAGAGGCAGAGTAAGAGGCAGAGCAAGGAGTAGAAGGGATGGAAGGGAGACAAAAAGTTAGGAGGAGAGGGATGAGCAGCTATTGTATAGACTATTATAAAGGGACTGACTGCTTACACTTTACACTAAAGGATAGTGTAGCCAGCTGGGTCTTATTGTCACACAATATGAGGCTCAGTACAGGCATTACAACAACAGATTAGAGAGACAAGTGTAGCAATGTTTATTACCTAGGTTATTACAGGCAGAGTGCCTGCTAGAGGATGCTTGTAAGTAAAGGACTGTGCTAGGAGAACAAAAGCAACATTATAGTATTAAGGGCAGAGGGTTGGGAGAGATGGTAGAGGTAGAGGTAAAGAAGTGACAAGGACAAGTGTGTCATTATATGCTCTTGATCTTCAGTTCTTGATTACGTAATCACAGATAATTTATATTATAAAGTATCACATTAAAA